GACAGGCACTGTGAACTGATGTCTAAAAGCAGTTCCTGGGAAATTGAAACAGTAGCTTATTTTTTACAAACTCTTCTGGTCGACTGGCCAAAACTGCTTCCAGGATAGCCTTGCTTGAAATTTTGGCCATCCTTTAGGACTTCAAGAATGAATTTGCCATGGGGGAGAAAGTATCGACTCCAAACTGGGAAAATACACATTCACTGTGTGAAAGTACAAATGCACTGGATGCATTCTTAGTAGCTATTTAGTGAGTGATAGCATACATCTATTCACCAGTGGTTTCTCACTTTCTAAGAGGCAGCCATGGTCATACTATGTGATCATCATCCATGCTTCATTCTAACGATTTATGTTTTATCATGAAACACTTCACCAATGTTTTGGGGTTTTTTTGTTTGTTTGTTTGTTTGTTTCTCCTGCTCTTTATAATTGTGTAAATTACTGCTATCCCACCCTGCTCTATTTTTCCCTTCTCTCTCATGCCTGCTCGAATTCCTTTAACTGGTGGAATTCTCCATCAGTTCCAGGATTTATGCTTGGTTTTTTGTTAGTTAGTTAGTTTGTTTGTTTTAATTTGCATATAGACGTCGTGCCTGTGTTCGGGAAATACCTTTCCACACTTTCATTTGCTTTGGGACTGTAATGTTGCTGAGCTGCAAAGGTGCTTGAAAAGAACACATAAATAAGAAACAGTTAATATTTTAAGTCCAGTGTATCTTTTTCTGCTATATTTCATACACATGAAAACTGATTTGTGCAATAACTGTTACTCCTCACATTTCTTTGTTTATTCTTTTAATCTTTCACCCTCTGATCCTGCAGTATCACAGTAAAACATAGAACTAAGTGCAAAAGAAAAAAACTGAAAACAAAATTATCCAAAATTTTTGAGAGGGAAATTGAATAGAGAAAATAAAATAAACTATTTGAAATGATCATATGCATTCTCGAGGGGAAGCACATTATGCACAAATCCTGAGTTCCCAACAGTTAAGAGAAAGAATTTTGAGCTGATAAAAATGCAAATGTTTACAGATAGGCTTCTTTCCTAAGGGTGGGGTGGAGGATTTCAGGATGAAATGGTGGTACTGTTCTGTTACACAAGGTCATTGCTAGGCTGCATGGGTGAATGATAGAGCAATTTGGTCATTGTGCCATCTAGCAGATGAGTGAGCGGTCTATTGTTTGCCTATCTAGGTGGCTATTTAGTGTTTGAGGCAACAGATTGATCTGTTAGAGTGCAGGATCCTGGAACAATCACGAGTTGCAGCCTGCGGGGCCTGTCAGGAACAAGCTCAGGGCATTCGCCAGGAGCATGGAAAACAGGAATCTTCTCCATGGTGGACTGAAGAGATTGGTCAAACAGTAGTACTGAACAGAGAAAGACAACTGGGACATGTGTACCTAGTACAGAAAAATTTGGTTCTGCAAAACCCGTGGAAGATTTAGACACTCATGTCTCATTGCTCATATACAAATATTCCCCTAACTTCTCATCTTTGTCTGTGCTCTCCACTTCCATCCAATTTAATAAACTGACTGAATTTGAACAGGATCAGCATCAGCAGAACAGTCAATAAAACAGTTTCAAGAAAGTTAAGATCTATACACAAACTATGAAAAGCCTGTTTTATCTCCTCTCAGATCAAGCCCATCACGAGATTTTGCCAAAAGTCCCCTTGTTGATACAGGATGGTGAGGTGGGCACTCAGATCTCGGTCACTTTAACAATTTTTGACCAAATATTATAATGATCCAAATACTCTAATTCTTACTCGTATGTTAAAAGTAGTAAGTAGATTAGATACAGGCAATCCACTTAAATTTGCTGTGACACATTTTCTCTGTGTATTAAAATGTGTGATACTTGTGTCATTAGCATGTCGTAATGTCCAGCTCTTCATGAGCCAAAGTACTGGCACTGACTTGTCAAATCTGGCCTTTCCAAATGGTCTGCAAACTACTCTGAATTTTCCTGGAACGGCACAGTTTCCCTAAAAGTTAAATGAAAGATACCCAAAAACATTCCTTTCTGCATCTTGGTATTGCTTGCTTTATACCATTGGTGATCAACATTACAGGGAATGTTTTCTGTTAGTCAGTTATATGTCCTAATCTTCAGAAACAGCATGAGCACCTCTTTCTCACAAAAGAAAAAAAATTAAAAAATCATGAAGCATGTTGGATACTGAGGATTAATTTGGAAAATTTTTAATCCTCACAGAGAAGATTTTGTGGCAATATAAGAAATTTCTCCATATTTTCAGTCAATGTGTTGCATGTTTTTATGCTATGCCTGTATATCAGTGCAAGAGGAACTTTAAGTGACTATTGTGTGCCTTGAGAAATGTATCCACTTAGAGAATTCTACCGTAAAAGATAATGATGATATGTACCCCTCCCACCTTTGCTTCTTTTCTGTGAAGAAAATAGGACATTATTCCTATTTCACAGAAAAAGAACTGAAGCACAACCTACCTACCTTCCCTCAAGACAAATGGAAGCAGGTACAGACATGCACCCAAACTGCAGTGCTTTAAACACATCATCTCCTTCTTAGCTGTACCAAAGCTAATTTTATCTGCCCGAGAGCTAGGAGATATGACAGAACTGTGCAGAACACATCTGCCAGTCTTATAAAGCTGTATTGAGAAATGTAATTTCCAAGTGCCTAGGGAAGGAAGCCTCACTGAGCTACAGCCATAAGTGCAGAGAAGGATGCTGAACTGCAAACAGAATGCAAGAGAATTTGTTTTATGTATGTTCAGATAGTTTTATATTCTCCTTCTGGGAAGAAATGCAAGAAATCTCCCCAACAGAACAGTCTGTAGGATCGCTTACCTCATAATTTTGATTTTCCAATTGACCTCTAGATATGGAGAGGTAAGGTAGTATTTTTAGCGACATTCAAAATGGGCAGGAGCCATTTACTGCTCACATCTCTTTGATTGCTTCTCTTGAACAAGGAGAAAAATGTAACAGACATTCAGGTAAAAAAGAAAGAGACAATGAACCTCAGGCAAGCCATAATAATAGCGTAGTTAGGATGATTTATTTATTTGCCAGTCCTTGTGGGCTGCTTTGTGCTGACTTCATTCTGTTGCTTTAACCCTCTAGGCTCTGCATCATCTCGGGTCTGCGACTACAGAGCTGCATAAGCTTCTCCATTCATTTCCTTTGCAGCACTGGGATTTGAATGATAACGAAGGTGAAGCAGGGTATTTATGGCAGGCTCAAAGAACCTGACAGCTTGGGATGCAGCTGGCCAGTCACTCGAGCGAGATGTCCAACAGAGGAGTGTGGAGGATGTCAAAACACAGCTCAATACCCCACACAAATCGGTTATAAAATGTCATAGTTTATGGATGGGTATTTTTCATAGGGGGGAGGGGGCAGTGGGAGATCTACTGCATTGGAAGAGAACTGAAGTCAGGGTTTTCATTTCCAGTTTAATTCCCAGTCCTGCTATTCACTTCCAACGTCTCCCTGAACAACTCACTCGGGCTCAAACGTTGATAACCCCATTTGTTTTTCTTTCTCCAATCGAAGAGCCTTCGGCTGGAGACTGGGAAGCGCTGAACACCTGCGTCCCCTACACCTTCCCCGTTTTCCTGAGGGAGCTGCTAGGGTTCCCCGAGAGGCGGGCACGCCTGACGGGAGGCTGGACCCCACCGTCGGCAGCGGACGACACGCTGGTTCCTGCCGCTCCGGACCCGCCAGCGGCCCCACGCAACAGGGACCTCCTGCCGCAGCGCACCCCGGCAAACACAACGGAGCCTCGCCCAGGCTCCGCCGTGCTCCCCGCGCCCGCGGCTCAGCAGCCGCCAACGCGGCTCCCACAGGCTGCTCCGCAGAGGGGGAGGCCGTGCGGCGACACCGCCCCGGCCCCGGCTGGCACGGCTCTCTGCACGGCGCCCCCGAGCCCCCTGGGGCGGGCGAGGACCGCGCCCCGGGTGCCCGGCGGTCCCTCAGGGCGCCTTCCCCGACGGCACCGGCACCACGCACGGCCCCCGCCCACCGGGGCCAATCGACGCGCCCCGGTCCGGACGGTGGCCGCCCCTCCCTCGTGGGGCCGCGGCCTCTCCCGCCGCCGGGGGATCCCCGCCCCTTCGAGGCGGCCCGCGGCCCCGCTGGCGGCGGCGCCCGACCCACGGGCGAAGGGACGCGACGCGACACCCCGCCTCGCCCCGCCCGCGCCCCGCCCCGCCGGAGCCGCTCGTGGCAAAGTCACCGACCCCCGAAGCCCGCCGGGCTCCATCAAACGCCGCGGCCCCGCCCGCCGACGTCATGGAAACAAGCGCGTCAGCCTCCCGCCCGCCAGTGGCGGCAGCGGCGGCGGGCGGGCAGCGGCGCGGGGCTCCGCCTCCGAGGGCGCCGTGCCTACCGGGGCTCCGCCTCCACCTCCCCCATTGAGGACTCCGCACGTCGAGACCCCCCCTTCCTCGGCCGAGCCAGGGGCCCCGTCACGTGGCTCGCACTCCGCAGGCGGCGAGAGAGGCGGCGGGGACCGGCGGCCGCGGCGCCGAGAGAGGAGGGGGCGGCGGGCGCGGGCAAGTGAGTGACCGCGG